TGCAAGGTTGAAGAAAAAAGATAAAAATTTACGTGTTAATCATGCAAGGTTAAAACAAAGATTTAGACTCTTGGAACAACAAGTTAATCAACCATTAGCAAACATGGCTACAATAGAACATGTAATGTTAGCATTAGCACCACTTGTTGCTCAAATCCCACAGTATACTGGTCAGGAACCACCAGATGCTTATATCGATAAAATGGAACAACTATTCTCATATGGAACTGCATTAAATGTTGTTGGTTTCAATGCAGCTGTAAAAACAGATATTTTGAAATCGAAAATGTCTGGGAAGTATGCACCAGTTCCGGCACAACATAATGGACAAAATATTGATACTCTAGCTCGATTCAGAGGTTGGCTTAGACATAAATATCAGACTGAAACCGTTGGAAGTCAACAGGCGTCTATCCAGAGATTAACTCAAGAAAAATTCTTGAATTCGGATACACCAGAAACTTATGAATATAGAATTCGCCCATTACTATTAGGAGTTGCTAATGATGATGCTAATTCAATGACATTCATTATGAATCACTTGCCTGATGAACTTTTTACACGAATGAAAATTGCGAATCCAGCAGGAATTAATGAATTTTTCATAGCACTAAAAAATATGTGGCTTGAACGAAGACCTAGTACATTTACTAGCCATGGTAATGTTCAAACTCAGATTATGCCGGTCATTCAACCTAATCAGATTATGCCTCTTCCAGAACCTGTTATTCAACCAGCTATGCCTCTTCCACAACCGACCTATTATAAAGTCGATCCTAAAGCTTACATTGAGGAAACATATGGTCCAGGTACATGGGCTTTAGATAAAAGGGGATTAGATACATATAACACAACTAGAGATATTATAAATCGTGGTAAAGATATTTTGAATCAAAATCAGAGTAACATTGGGGGCATAGAATCATTAATAGATCGCATAGTACAAAGAAAAGTTGATCTAGAATCTAATCCAAAAATTAGAAAATATAGAGATATGATAGACTATGCGCAAAAAGGTATTGATATAGAAGAAAATCGCCCTGATGATCTAATGGATATAGACTATACTCTTATTAATCTTGCTAGAGAACTTCAAGGTGGTATGTCAAAAAAAATTATAAATCGCGTTTCTAGCAAAAAGAAGTCTAAGTCTAAGAAAGCTTCCAAGAAAGGTGTTAAGAATCAAAAAAGGATCGTTAAGCATATTATTTACAATGATGAAGATGAAGAAGATGATGAGGAATCTGAAGAAGAGGAAGGAACTGATGAAGATGAAGAAGATGAATATGAGGAAGAAACCTATACTACAAATTCCGCAAAAAAAAAAAAGTCCTGCAATGAAGCGTAAACCTAAAAAGAAGATTGTAACTTGGGACATCTATGAAGCTGATATGAAAGAGCTTAAGAAAGTACTAGAATATCTTGTTACAATAGCAAAAAATCCATCTCGTGAAAATACTTCTTTGAATGAACAACAGCCTGATGAAAACACTTCTAATATTCAACCAGCTATTGAAAATGTTAGTGAACCTATGGTATTTAATATTCTTCGGAAACCAGCTAGCGATGTAGTAACTATAAAATGTCGAATCAATAAATTAAGCATCCCTAGTGCTGTCCTTGATAGTGGTGCGAATTGTTCTATAATGTCATTAAATATCGCCAAAAAATTGGGACTTGATATAGACACAACTAGACCTACTTCTCTTGAAGGTGTTGCTACTGAATCAGATACAATTGGATGGGTATACAATATTCCTGTAAGCATTGGATTCTTTACTTTATTAAATGATTTTATTGTTGTCGATGATAATAAACCTGCACTACTTCTTGGTACACCTTGG